AATTTCTAAAAAAAAAAAAAAAAAAAAAAAAAAAAGACTGTATCATGAGAAACATGATGCACTCAATGCATATGTGTCTGGATTTTCAAGCTGATTTCTCTTGGCTGTGATGAAAGTCAAGCAAATGTCCTAAAAGCCAATGTAACTTTTATAGAGTCAAGAAAAATCCCAAGGCTGGACAGACCAGTTCCGTAATAGCCTAACTGAATACTGGACAATTCTTTCCAGGCCATAACTATAGAATCTAAAAAGGTATCAATATTGAAAGCATTCATAAGCCTGATTTTCCCTTTTGAAATAGGAAAGTGAATGCCTCCAGCATGTAATGTGCCAAATTCCTCTGTGAATTACAGGCTCTGGGCAGCTGGGTGGAGACCTGGGTTCTGGCAACTGCTTCTGAGAAACCAAGGGTAATTTTCTTACCTTCATAGGCTCTATTCGCTACTCTACAAAGTAAAAATATCAGACTCGAGGCCCTTTAAGCTCCCTCATACCTTGAAAATGTTAAGATTCTACAGTCTTTCTCCCCTAACTCTGACAGCCAAATTCTCCTTCAGTGGGTTGTTGAAAAGTCCTCTTATCTCTGCTGACTGATTCTTTACAACTGGCCTTGGATTCCACAGGGTTTAGCCAACTTTTCTGTACTTTGAGACATTTTTCCCCCCGAGCTCTAGTCTCTTATAGCCTCTGAAGAAGGGGTTTCCTAGTTCTAGAAGACTAAGAAGAACTGGTGTAGGAAGGGGGGCTTTACATCTGAGCCACTGTAAGTAGATGACCTGAGTGACAAGGGTGTGTTGACCAGTCCAGGGGAGAACCCCGTTCGAAGAAACCAGTCTCGAGGTTGTCTAAGCACTGAACTCAGAGACACCTTTTATTAAAATCATTCCAGAGATGAATTTGTACAACATAGCCTTTCCAAAGAGGCAGGTGGCTTTGGACATGCTTTGATCAAGGGAGAAGAGGAAAATAAAATGGAAAAAACCCATGTGGACTGAGTTGCTGAGGTAGGAGGGACTCGGTGGGTGAGGGACCTAACTGGATAGTGATAGCTTCTTTCCCTTTCATATAATCCCTGCTAGGGTCTGCCCTACCTGTTACTAAGAATCTTGGAATACAAAATGCATGTCCTTCCTCTCAGGCAATATAGGTAAGGGGCCTCGGGAAAAATCTTAACCTAAGGAATTTTCCAGGGAGCTGCTTGCCTGGAAGGAAGTTGCCACCCTTTTGTTGTTTCGGTCACGTCATTTCACTGCTATCGCAAACTGACCAGGTGCTACTCTGTGGCACATGTAAGTTTTCAGGGATTGTGCAAGGAAACGCTGCTTCTCTTCCTTAGTAAATACAATGCTCAGAAAGCATTTGCCCCCATTCTTATTCTGTATTATTTATATATTTTATTTATATATTCAAAAATAAGAAAAAAGAAATCTAGCATTTTATCCTGTCTTAGGTAATTCTATTTTATGAATACTGAGACTATTAAGAGCCTTCTCAAATAAATCTTCACATTACTCTCTGTAGAGTTCCTTTCCACTAGGACTGAAAGGAAGAAATTGCTTTTTATGTTTGAAAAGATAATTGAGATCTGTTCCCATAGCTGAAGATAACCCTGGAAAAACTCCACTTTCATTTGGGAAAAAATAGGTTCCCAATACCATAGTTGCTGATAGCTTATAGGCTGCACTAACCAGGGTACTCTCAACCGGCTTCCTGGGTATAAAACCTACAGGAAACAGTACTCTTTTGACAATGCCTACAACTAGCCCTCCAAGTTGTGACTAGACATGGTCACAGTCTAGACACATGGCATTAGAAAACCACTATCCGAAGCACATGATAGAGTTCTAATGATGATCTGCTATCACTTACTACCTTCAGAACCAAAATTTTTAAGTATCTATATGTTTAACGTATAAAACAAAGTATTTGAATATAGTCATTTCTGTTAGAGCATGCTTATTTGTAATATGAGTTAATAATAATTAGTATTATTTCAGAGAACTTCAGAATATTTTTATAAATATTCCTAAGTTAAAGGCAAAATTAAACACTATAAAATGCCTTTTCATTTACTTCAATAATTTTTAAACTCAATCTGAAATTTAGGACAGGGCATTGCACAGAAAACAAAATAATGTTTGAGCGTTCCATAACCGAAAATTCCAGAAGATATTTTGATTTGTTTTCTAAGATATTAAATTTACCAAATATCTTACCTCTGCACACATGAAGCTGCAAATTATCCCCACAATACTTTCCTCTATAATTAAAAAAAAAAAAATCAAGAAATAATTTAAAGCCAACAACTGAAGTACTCTCACTTATCATTAGCTCTCTCCTGATTACTAAGTTCACTTAATAATTTTAAGGCAAATACAACTGGAATGGAACCATCACAATATTCTAAGAAGATGGATCTGAACTATTTGTAGACCCACCAAGGGTATATTTCAACTCAGAACACAGTCCTCATTGAAAAGTTTTCACAGGACCCACAAGGGAAAACCCCTGGAGATAGAACTGAGCTCACAAGCATCCCTCAGCTACAGAAGGTTTATGGAGATAGCACATGAATTTCTAACTCAAACCATAACATACAAATTATTCACTATAGCTCTTTTTAAAACTTTGCGGGTTTTTCTGCTATATACCAATTATTAATTCTGAAAGTCAGGGTATGTGTGTATATGCATGTATACATGTAGTCACCCTTTTATAGTGGAACATATTACCAGAAACAAAACATACATAAAACTGCCAGAGAAAAAGGAAAAACAAAACAGAAAATCTGTACACATTCTAGGACTCTAAAATAAGAGGTAAATATTACCCATTGTCCTGACAAAGAGATGAGGTCTGGTTACTTCTCAGTTTACTATAACCTCTGAACACAGACACGGGTGACACACCGCATAGTCTATGAGAGGCTATTCAGGTGGTTTCCAAATAGTTATATGTATTTTACATAAAATCATCATTATATGAACAATATTAACCACCTAAATACTTCCCATATACTTTTCCAAGAAAATAGGTTACAAAGTATAAGCACATACATAACATCATTTTCTCCATAAAACACATATAAATGAATAATTTCATAGAATTAAGCTAAATAAGTCTTTTAGCTATTTTTCTTCAATAGGATGCACAAAACAACTTTTTATTAATCTTTAAAAGTGCTTGATAATAGCATTTTATATTTTTTAAGATTTTATTTATTTGAGAGAGAGTGATAGAGAGTGTGAGCATGAGCAGGTGAGGAGGAAGAGAGGGAGAGGGAGAAGCAGGTTCACCTCTGAGTAAGGAGCCTGACTTGGGGCTCCATCCCAGGACCCTGAGATCATGACCTGAGAAGAAAGCAGCTGCTTAACTGACTGAACCACCCACATGCCCCAATAATAGCACTTTATGCAGTATTTAACAAAATGCTTTTTGGAAACATACAGAAATAAAATAAGATTCTGGGATTCTTTTACTTTTTTCTATTTTTCTTAAGATAATTTCTTTTCTTTCTTTTTTTCTTTTTTTTTTTTTTTTAAGATTTTATCTGTCAGAGAGAGAGAGAGAGAGAGAGACAGTATAATCAAGAGAGCAAGCACAAGCAGGGAGGACAGTAGGCAGAGGCAGAAGCAGGAAACCGGCTGAGCAAGGAGCCCGATGTGGGACTTGATCCCAGGACCCAGAGATTGTGACCTGAGCCAAAGGCAGATGCTCAACCAACTAAACCACCCAGGCATCCCAAGATTCTGGGATTCTTAAGCAGGTTTAGTGAAGAAAGGATTAAAGAAAATAAATAGAAAACACAGGGATTCTGGAGGATAATTTACCTTTAGAAAACTGATGCTTGGGGTGCCTGGGTGGCTCAGCCAGTTAAGCCTCTTCCTTTGGCTGGGGTCATGATCCCAGCGTCCTGGGGTCCAGCCCTGCATCAAGCTCCCTGTTCAGCGGAGAGACTGCTTCTCTCTTTCCCACTCCCCCTGCTTGTGTTCCCTCTCTCTCTATCTCTCTCTGTCAAATAAATAAATATAATCTTTAAAAAAAAAAAGAGAGAGAAAAAGAGAAAGAAAAAAAACCAGACAATTTATAACCATGCCTATCTATGATCATCTTATTCTTATCCTCCTATGTATTATATTTCACAGATGTAGTTACATGTTTGATTATACACGAAATAGAAAACTTGGGTGGTCTGGGGATTTTCTTGATGATAGCATCACAAGAACATAATTAAATAAAAATGTCATTAGCAGTCGATTAAAAAACATCTTGATCAAAACGTCTCTAGTAAAGGTGACAATTCACAAGACAGACTACTAGAAATCATAGCAACAAATAAGCATTATGTTAGTTTTGTATTTGTTTTAAGAAGAAAGTTTTCTCACTCAAAAAAAGTTAAATGTGTGAGCAACCTTATATTGGTTCTATCAACAAGCCTAACCATAGAAGCCCAGTCAAGCCAATGTCAACAAAGCCAATCCCTTCAAAGAACAAAGGTATCTGACTGATTAAGTAAGACCTGTGAAATAAATCCCCTCTCCCCAACTGCTTTACTCTCCCCTAAGATCCTGTTGTCTACCTTTATAAAAATGGTTATATTAATATATTAATACAAGGACACTTAGTTGGTAAACCCCAGATATGGTAAACTTGATTACAAATAAAAATTCCACAAGCAGAGAAAAAAGGCAGTATTTAGTCAATGTTGGAAAAGATCTGCACTACAAGTTGGTCACACCATTTCTCCAGGATTCCATTGGAGAATAAAGATAAGACTTCCCCACTCTCCACAAATCTGGGTTTCTGTGTTGGTTGAGTTGTTGAGCTCAAGAGACAGCCAGCTTCTCTGGAAGCTCACTTTTCCTCACCCTCAAGCACACCTTGAAACTCAGCAGGCACACACAAGCTCACGTGAGCGCGCATGTACACACACACAAACTTCGTAATAGAAACTGCTGGATTTTCTGATTGGAAACACTTCAGAGGCTGTTGGCACTTACCTTGCAAAGATGTGTTAGGTAAACTTGCTTCATTCTCTCCCATTTTATAATTTCTTTTTAAAGGGGGCCAAGCAGTTTCAAGTTGTGTCAGTTACCTTGCAAGCTTGGTGACCTTCTGACTTTCTACTGTGGTACTGTAACAGTATACTACCTGCTTTCTTCTGTGAATAATTACCATTCTGCTTCCTGAATTACCTGGGCTTGCAGGACCTGTTTTGCTGTGAAATGAGATCACATCCTTTGATCCAATGCACTGCTATTAATGTGTGTTTCACAAAATGTGGCTTTGTTTCAGTTTTGGTATTAACTTTTAATTCTCTACTTTCACTTTAGTCTAAAACATATTTACATTTTCCTGGAACATCGATACTACCAACACACCATCGTGCAGAGCCAGAGTTTTGTTTGTTTTTTAGTGTTCCCGATCTGCTTCTCTTATAGAAATAAAAATTTAAAGTGAATTTTGCAATGCTCATTTAAAAAAAAAAAAAAAACAGAGAGACATAAGGAACAGCACGGGAATCAGTTTTGTGCCGTCATGGAAAGACAGTCTTGGAGCACCACCAGTACTAGCTGTGGAACTGTAAGTGAGGGCTATATCTTCTCTGAGTCTCAGTTTCCCCAACTGTAAAATAGGGATGATGTCTATTTTAGAAGGTTTTTAGTGAAGATTGAAAGCAATCATGTCTGTGCTAAACACTGTGAACGGCAGATGATAAACAGAACACAGGCAGAATTTTTTCTACCCCCCTCTTCTTCCTTTTCCATTCATCTTCTTCCTTCTTTCTCTCCTCTTATCCTTCCTCCCTCTGAAAGTGCAAAGTATGCCCAGGAATAACACTGATGTCACTAGGTCCTGATGTCATTTGTCTACTTATTAATGGAGGGATCTTAGACAAATGATCCAATCTGATTTCAGAGTGCCTCAAAGTCCTCATTTGTGAAAAGATACTTTCACGAAAATATTTGCATTGCCTTCTGACTAGGAACAGAAAGAGTATTAGTCTAAACTAGTGTACTTCAAGCAAAAAATAATCTCCAGCAAAGATAAGCAACAAATTGGAGATTTATCTTTTATTCATTTATAAAAGTGAGAGAGGACATAGATCACAAAAATAAATCAATTTATTTAAACTCTGTCTCCCATAAGATATCCAGATAAAAAACAATCTCTCTTGGGACGCCTGGGTGGCTCAGTTGGTTAAGCGGCTGCCTTCGGCTCAGGTCATGATCCCAGCGTCCTGGGATCGAGTCCCACATCGGGCTCCTTGCTCGGCAGGGAGCCTGCTTCTCCCTCTGCCTCTGTCTGCCTGTGCTCGCTCGCTCTCTCTCCCTCTGTCTCTGACAAATAAATAAATAAAATCTTTAAAAAAAACAAAACAACAACAAAAAAAAAAACAATCTCTCTTTTCTCCCTTTAGAATTCCTTAAAGTTTGTTCAGACTGGTTAAAAAAAAATCCAAGGTTTAAACACCTACTCCTTTGACGGTTCTTTGATTTTCAATTTGGAAAGAATCTGCATACCATGTTTCTTAGCTCATTAATGAAAAAAGATTGATTATATAACTTATGTAAACAGAAAAGTTACACAACTAGAATAGTTATTCTCAGAAATATTAGAAATGAAAACAAATGTGAGAGTAAAAAAAGGTCCTTATCACAGGGGCACCTGGGTGGCACAGTTAAGAGACCAACTGTTGGTTTCAGCTCAGGTCGTGATCTCAGCGCCATGAGATCAAGCTCTGAGTTGGGTTCTGCACTCATTATGGATTCTGCTTGAGTTTCTCTCTCCCTCCCCCTCTGCCCCTACCCACTGTGGGCATGCTCTCTCTCTCAAATAAATAAATATTTTTAAAAATCACCACCACAGTTAATTTATAGTTCTCTCTTTCATTACCTTTCTGGGTCTTAGTTTCTTCATCTATAAATTGATCTGGAACATTTACTGTCTAAGCCCCATTCTCTCATTATAAATACTAAAACCTCTGATTTAAAAATCTAAGTTATAGTTTGTTCCAGAATAGTCTTTGCATCGTACAGTTGCATAATGTAACATATATACCGTGCTACATACTTTACCAAATGTAACCTGAAATTGAATGATGGCCAATAAAACACTATAATCATCACATTTGGACTTCCCCCAACAGGAGGAACACACATAACCATCCTCCCTCATTATGACAACTTGGAAATGTATTTACATACTGGTCCCAGGCACCTAAAATTAGTCAATTACCAGTCTAAAACACTCATTATCTACCAGGTGAATTATACATGTGTGAAGTTACAATGAAAGCAGCATAGAGAAGTCCTATTTTTGAGCAGAGGAAAAGCATAAAAACACCAGCAACCCCAAAAGTACTTGTCATTGCCCAGAGAGTAACATAAATATACACTCAGTTATACTGAAATAGCTTCAACATTTATAAAGCGCCATGCACTCAGTTACTCACTCTCCCTCTTGGGTACCTCATATGCCTGGAAAATTCTTACTTCACCACTTTCCCTTTGTCTAATTCACATGCAGGAATTCTTCTTGAACCTAATCTTGGTTGAGGCTTCCTCTACATGTTGCCAGATGCCTCTTAACAACTTCGAACTTCTCCTTTCACCATGGCTCTTCTCACACTGTGTTGGACGTACTGCTTATTCTGTCCTTGGGAGCTGTTGTGTGAAAGACCTCTTCTGTCCCCACCACTATCCCTGAAATCGTGCAAGGTAGCATAGTTCCTGACACATATTAACTGCCTTCCATAGTTTTTGTAAAGATGAACAAGATTATCATCATCACAAAAGGAGAACTAAAGGATCTCAAAGAAAAGAAGGACATAGACTAGCAAGAAGATGATAAAATATATTTCAGGAGGGGAAAATGCCAAATTAAATTTCAAAAGTGAAAAGAAGAGGGGTAACTAGTTAGGTTTATCTGCAAGAATAAATAAATAATTTAAGAGCTAGAAGGATAACAGAGATGAGGACATTTATGAGAATTTTCAAAAAAGAGAGGGAAATAAAGAATACCTATATAGTGACTGCATTAGTTTAACGTGTGCGCGCGCGCGCGCGCGCACACACACACACCCCTCCCAAAAATAAACACTGGTAGCATTAGCCAGAATAGCTTTACTGAATGGTGAAAGGAATGCTAATTATACAATTATCAACATTTTTGGAATATTGGAAAGAAAGTGATGAGAGTGACTGTGTTCTCTATGTACATTCCAAGACAGTGCTGTAAAAATTACCAAGCACATTTTTAAACAACTTAGATGACTTAAGAGAAAACAACATTCACAACCATATCATCTTTCTGTATTTCTACCATTCTATTTCTAAAGCAAACTTCACGGAGAGAGTGGCTACAGAAAAAGGTTATAAATGCTACCTTTTATCATTCAGTTTGAGGGTTCTATGTAGAAATTAAACAAAAGGAAGAAACCAATCTTGAAGTTTAAACTTGTCATGGGTAATTATTAAAGTGATTATGTAGTTCTGTTTTTCAAGGGAAGATAGATGTGAATATTTGAAAAAAATATGAAGTAGTTATTCAAAATTCTGAATGGTGGCACTGTCTTATAAAGCATGGAGCCCTGTGTAGGTAAAATGTTACACATTTAGTAACAGACCTGGCATTTCATCACTTAGCATTTTTTTTTTAAAGATTCTTTGTTGAAGCTTAAATTCTATTGTTTGATGGTCGCCAAGAATTTCTAGTTGGGATTGTCTGATCCTTATAGCTGCTAAGTACTTTTGAGTCCTACCAGAAGCAGTCTATTTCTAAACTAGGAAAGGAAGAGAATGCATATTCTGTACAGGAAGAATGGGTAGAAATAAATAAGATTTTCTGATGCTTAGGAATACTAGATGAACATATTCCACATCTTCTCTTCTGAATCTAGGTATTACCATCTATCTAGTTGCCCTAGAGAGAAACTTATTTATCCTTAGCTCTATTCTCCCACATTCCCCAAATAATCACAAAGTCCTAACAATTATTTCTAAATGTCACTGAAATTCACCTCTTTAACTTTCCATATTCTCTAGGTAAGGCCATCATCATCATCTCTCACTAAGACACAAACTCCCTAAATAAATTCTCCCTTTCCTTTAATCCATCCTTTCTGTAACTGTAGAGTCATCTAGCAGATAGAGTGATCTTCCTAAAACATAGTCACGCCATTTCCATGCTCGCGTCTGTTCAATGGTCCCACAACCTACTCAATACTATCGATACATTATCACCACCATCCCACTGACTCCTAACCTCTCATTAAGACTTAGTTCATCGAACTTAGGCTTCTCTGACATTCCCAAGCACATCTGATGCGAATTCCAAATAGCTGAATACATAATCACATTTACTTTTCTATACCTGTGAATTTATATATAGCTGGTCAAAAAAAATTAAAGCATACTCAGTGCTTTTTATCAGGATTGACTTGTGGGCAAAAATAACCTAAGCTTTTAATTCTCTCTTTTTTTTTTTCATAAAATTGGCATGCAGAATCTTAAGAAAATTTGTATTGATGGAGAACAAAGAAAGTAACTACTACTTTCAATAGTAATAAGACATATCTATTAACAAGGAAATAAGTAATGATGACAAGGAGAGTATCATCATTTTCATGATCTTTCTACTATAGTCTTGATAAATGAAGTAGCCAAGGAACTATATAAATTATATGCTAACACACACGTGCACATACAACAGAGTTGCTTAACAATTACTGGTGGTTTATAGGTTATTTCACATGATTAAGATATACAATGACTCATCCAAAAATAACAGACCCATGGTGGTGCCGAGTTGAAAGTCAGGTGGGAGGGATGCTACAAAGCAGTCTAATTTGCTGCTGGGAACAACACTCTTCTAGACTGTGGTAGAACTTTAAAACACAACATTAAATACAAGCTTGTAATCATAGTATATAGTGACCTATACACCTTTTATGAGGATCTCACGATATCTTGGCTTACATGCCAGAAAATTTTAAAGCAATATCCTCTTACTAGCAATCTCAGCTTCATCCATGAGAGTCTACTGATAGTGGGAAGACTAGCTATGACTGTCATCTAAGTATCATTTGAAAAAGAGAAAATAATAAAGTTTCAGTGTATATTTAATACTATTATGGAACATAAAATGAAGTATACACACACAAATACTTGATTAATCTATACAGAACTATTCCACAAATGCTGACAAAACTCCCTCAA